ACTAGTGCGCTTCTTACTAACGGGCCTACTAGTGCGCTTCTTACTAACGGGCCTACTAGTGCGCTTCTTACTAATGCGCATACTAATGCGCCTACTCATGCACCGCTTCCCGCAGATACGCCTCCTGTGATTACAAGCCGAAGAAGACCATTGGGAAGAAAGTTAAGCTTCTCGTGGACCTCGCCAGGTGGGTCTCTCACCGCCCATACAGGACGAATGCACAGCACGTGATGGTGCATCAATGCAGTTACACATGTTGAAACATCGGTACATCATTCTCGTCACCCCCTTCTCCATCACATACACACATGGCCGTGAGCACACCCGTTCCATCAACGCAGGGTCCTGTACCTACTGAACGAGGGACTACAACATGTGTACCTGATCAAGTTTGTGAACAGAAGTGTAACGATAGAAAACCATGTTATCGTTTTTTTCAACCATCACAAGTTGGACTTGCGCAATTTCAGGCACTACTAAGCGGTACAGAAAAAAAAAAAAAAAAAAAAAAAAAAAAGACGCGGCGCGGTACTCTGCGATGAGTGGCCGACGAGAGAACGAGCGCGGGGTGAAGCCATATCTGTTGGCCGCTACACTCGCTACGCTCGCTAGGATAGCTACACCTCCTGGCGGTAGCGGCAAATGTCGAGGGTGACCGTGCGGGAACACTTCTTATGCTTGTTCTTGTACACGCCGATGAGGGTCTGGCTCTTGCTGAAGAACTTTTCCTTGAGCGAGATGACAATGACTTGGCTGTTAATAGAGTTAAGGTACCTGGCGAGTGCACTCATTTTAATGGGATCCATATTCGCATCTACCTCGTCCAATATAATAAACGAGTTACTTATATATTTTTGAATGGAAAAAATTAGTGCCAATGCACTCATGCTTTTTTCTCCTCCACTTAACTCCGATACCTCAAAGAAGCGTTTCATGGGTGGCATATTGTTATAGCGAATGCCACAGTAAAATGGTTCATCGTCTTTATTGAACTCATTCAAATTGACGAGGTCTAAAAAAGCTTGGCCACCGACATGGTGCTTCACATTATAAGTTAAATTATTATACACATTATCTATTACATTTTTTATATAATTAAAACAGTGTAGAAATTTGTATGACCTTTTTTTTTGTAAAATCCTGAAATTTCTTTCGAACAGATTACATTCCTTTCTTTCATTGGAGAGAGCAGCGTCCACATTCTTCAACTTGCTGAGTAACTGTTCATACTCCTTTTCTGCACTTGTATTTACGTTTTTCATTTTTAGGAGTTTTTTTTTTTTTTCAATTTGCTTTTCCAGCTTTTCCTGCTGTGTGTTAATTTCCTGCTCGTTTTCCATTTGCTTCAACTCATCTGGGAGTGCATCGAAGGAAATGTTGCTTAAGGTAAGATCGACCTCCTTGTCGTCTTCGTCTTGGTCTTCTCCACCGCTTCCACGCGTGCTGCTGGAACTCGCGGCGCTTCCCCGGTCGGAGTCGTCTTCCTCCTCTTCATCGTCGCTGCCTTGGAGAAGCTTGCTCATGCGTCGTTTACCCTTGGACCGGCCTGCCTTGTGCCCCGTTGGCCGCTGATCATGCTGCTGGTCGGCAATTGCATAACTCGCCGCGAACACATTGACGCCATTCATGTCGCACTCGCTTACGAGATCCTTCACGAGGGTAACGTAAATGAGAATCTTCTTCCTACAATTGTCTACCTTACTCTGCATCGTCTCGTACTTTTCAAAATTGCCGCTAATCCTATCTCGCAGGTCATTGAGTTCCTGGTTAATCTGAGCAAGGTTCTTAAGATGCGTGGCTCGTTCGATCTCTCTCTCGTGGATACCCTTTTCCGTTTCTTTCATTTTATCCACATGCCCCTTCTCTTCCTCATTCAGTTTGTACAATTCTAATTTAATATTCTCTTCCTGATTAGCAGCTTTCTCCTTTTTCTGCATCAGTTCAATTTCATATCGTTTATCGGACAATTCATTCATATCGTCATTTAACTTTTTTATATTATTTTTTATACGGTCAATATTATAATCTATTCGTTCCATTTCTTTTGAACCTTTTTCAATTGCTTCGTAAATATTTTCCATTTGAAATCTTTCATTGAGTATTTTAAAAGAGTCTCTTTGGTAAGACGCCAGTCCCTTTCTCTCCTTCATCAACTCTGCTTCATAACTTTCAAGAGTACTCACTTTTTTTTTCATTTGCACATTTTTTATTTTTATAATTCTTTCTTCATAATTTTGTATCGTGGCTTCTTTTCCCTCTACTTCTTTCTCGAAAATGCCTTTTTTAATTAACAAACTAGCAGCTTTTTTTTTATTCAACTCGAGTTCATAATTCGTTTTATTAATTTGTTCATTAGTTTCAATCACCTTCTTATTACAATCACTAATAACACTCCTGCATTCTTCCTTCTCACTCACGATTCTGTTATACATGCTAAGGTTCAATCTCCTGTTACTATACCTTTCTCTGTCTCCATGGGTAGAAGATATATCCACGATTAAATTGTTATGCTTAGAAATGATATGACCATTCAGTGTTACCATATTAGCATTCAGATGTGGAAATTTGCTTTTCACCTCCTCTGCGTCTTTTATTCGTTCAACGATCAGGGTGTTCCTGCCAATGAGATAGTCGAACAGGACTTTAAACTGCTCATCGCATACGAGACAATTGTTCGCCAATACGATATTCTTCTTTTTGAATGTATTTATTACCTTTTCCATCATGTGGTGGTCTTCCTCTTGCCACGTATTATCCTCCCCCCGTTCCCACGCCGCCACTCCTGCTGTGGTAACGTCGTCATTCTGTACATGTGTGTGCATATCACCTCCCCTGCGCTTTACATTTTTCACGAAATTTTTTACGAAATTTTCCAGAGGGATAAAGTCCATCCTGTGTAGCTTATTGTCCTTGAGGTACTTGATACACTGCGCAGCCACGTGTACATTTTTTACCACGAGGAAATTATTATACTTATGAATTGCATTATTAACAGCCGTGAAGTAAACTTTGTTGCTGACCTCGTACAGCGAACTGACCTCGTCATATACCTGGTCTTCCCCAAACACATTTTTCAAGTTCGAAATGATTTCTCTTTTTTTTTCAAATTGTATTAATTCATTTTTGTGTATATTTAATATATTAACTTCATTGTCCAGTTGTTCTATTCTTTTTTCCTTTTGTGAGATGGCTTGATGAAGGTCTCTCAAGTGTACCTTCAAATTTTCAAGTTTGTTCCTGTCCCCTTCGATGAGCATATTCAGTGTGTTCACTCTTCCTGATACCTCATCCATGGTGAGCTTCTCCGCTTCGTAATCGAGTACCTCCTTCTGTTTCTTCCTGCACAAATTATCACACTCTTCTTGTAACTCCTTTATATCCTTCTTTAGCGCGTTTGCCAAGGAGTTATAATTGTTAATGTTGATGTTGCTGTTAGCGCAGAGGTATAAATACTTCTCCTTGCACTTTTTATACTCATTTAAATTTTCCACAAGATGGAACAGGTTGCACTTTTGAAATAACGCTTTCTCCTCCTCCTCCTCAAGTAGGTCAGCACTCGTCTTCCCGTCCTGATGTGCACCGCTACCTAAGCGCAGTCTCTGCTCAGCCTTTACCAGATTATCAAATATGCCTTTGTGTCTCTCCTGAATGTACTTCTTAACTCGGTCATGCTTTTCCATGAAGGTTAGGATGACCCCTAGTTTGTTTGAAATTTCTGTTCGTAATTTCTTACTCTGTTCCTTGACCTGTTCATGCAGATTGTCTGAAAATGTGGTGCAGTGGGTTTGTATGTTCATTTGTAGCTTCTGGTTGGCCAGCACCTTGGTCAGGGAGTCTTCATTAAATTTTTTCTTCTCATTTATTTCGTTCAAAGCAATTTTTAATCGGTTCATTTCGACACGGTAGTTCCTAATATCGTCTTCAATTTTTATAAGACTTTTTTTTTTCAAAAGTTTTTTTTTTTCCAAATGGCTAGCCACATCTTTATCTTTCGAGAGCACCTCTTGTTCGAATTCGATTTTTTCCTCTTTATATGTGAGCAGATCTTCCTTTAGCTTTTCCTTTTTCTTATGAAGGTGGTACAGCTGGAAGAGGTAGAATGTCTTCACGTCTTGCTCGTGTTCCTCTTTCAATTGGTTCTGTTCAATATTATCACTAATTTGCATTTTGTGAATTTTAATTTCTTGTTCGATTTTTTTCTTTTCATTTAAGTAACTCTTGCAGGTCATTTGTTTCTCTTTTAATTTTTCCTTCATGTCTTCATATACCTGTTCATACTCATCTGACCCACTAATATATTCAAACAGTTTAGCTAATTCAGTTGGCTTTTTATTTATTACATCTTCAATATCTCCTTGAAAAATGAGACACGTTTTCGTTTTTGTTTCAATTCGATGTTTCTTAAGAAAAGCAATGTACTCCTTATGCTCCACCAGTTTTTCATTTATGTAGTAGTTGCTGACCCCTTTAAAATTTAAGGTTCTTTTTACTTCAAAATTTTCTTTATTGCTTTCGAGAACAAGTTTCACATAACACTTCTTCCTCTTCAACAACTCTACTCTTTCATTTTCCTTATAATGAATTAATTGCTTCATATTCTTTACCCTAAGACACTTATTATGAATACCCAGCACAAAACATATGCAGTCCATTATGTTTGATTTACCTGACCCGTTTGGACCTATTATAGCGGTAAATTTGGAAAAGGGCCCAATAATATTTTCTCCTTCATAACTTTTAAAGTTGCACACCACTAGGTATTTGATAGAGCAGAGTTCATTATCTCGACCTGCCACACTAGACGCCATGCTACTATTGTTCAGGTACTCGTTTGGGTATTCCATCTGAGCGGTACAGGGTTCAGGCAGGACGCTACTTAAGGGGTTAGTGCGTCCAGCGAGGGGGTCTCTTCTCTGGGTGACTTCACTCCCCGTTTCACTCCTCGGCACACAGGCCAGGTTATCCCCCACATCGCTACCACCCTCATTTGCGTCGTTTACATTTACCCCCTCTTCGTGTGCGTCGTTTGGCTTCTGAACTAGGACAACTCCTTGGTGTTCTTTCCCGCCTCCCTTCAAGACTACCTTCCCTTTTTCCCCCTTACCCTCTTCCGCTATATCTGTTTGGCGAACCAGTGTGGCCCCTTTCGTTATCTCCTTATCCTGCTTGGCGCCATCCTGTGCGAGCAAAGTCTTCTTCACACTGCGCACCTTATCCTCCGCTCCGTCACCATACATGCCCTTCAGCACTGCATACTTTTTCCCCTCATTCGCAGACTCCAAATTAATGGGCTTGGTAAGGGAAAAATTAAAAGAAGATTCGTCTGACCCATCAGCATATTCCTCATTTATAAAATTATTAAAGTCTTGATCGTCCATCTTGGCTGAGTTTGTCATTATATGAATGGACCCTTCATTTTTGTCTCTTTCCGTGTCGAGTTCGGAACCGGACTCATCCTGCTCATCGCCTTTGCTCTCCATGGGGTCCTTATCTTTGTTCCTTTTCCTTTGCATCTTACAGCTGGGCTCGTTATGGGAGGGGAAAAAGCGGCAGAGAAAATTTTTTACCCTTTCGCCCCCCCCCACCTCACACGCCCAAAAAGGGGAATGGTCAAGCGGCGAAGCGTACAATACACCACGTGGGAGGCACACCAAAAAAAAAAAAAAAAAAAGTAAACAGGGAACCCCCAAAAACGCACACGTATTTTTTACGCGCTCTTACATACAGAGAGACTTTTCCTTGTGTGTTTTTTTTTTTTCTTCTTCTTTTTTTCCTTTTTTTCCCTTGCCCCCCTCTTTTTTTTTGTGTATGGACGAACAGAGCAAATGAGTCAACCCTCGATGTACACACCCGTACATGTAACCGTAAGAAAAATCAATTCACCTCTTAGCGTGAACAGCACAGCTCAGCTCGTATCCCTTCGATAGACCTCTCTCATGTAAGCCTGAGTTTTGTTTTTTTCCCCCAAGTGTACATACATGTGTTTACTCCATGGCAGCTAGCTCTTTTTTTGTATGCTTTCTTTTTTCTTTTTTTTTATTCTTTTTTTTTAATTTCCCGCACTTGACCACTGTACACATGAAGCGTTCGCATTGACAAAATAATTTGTTCAACGAAAAAAAAAAGTGGAGCGAATGTTAGGAGAGAGATATTCTGGTTGGTGTGAGTTTTTTTTTTTTTTTTTAATGTGGTTAGCTGCTCCGTTTTTTTTTTTTTTTTTTTTTTTGGCCCATTTAGTAGTCTTATCCATGAGAAAAAGAAGAGAACAAAAAACAGCCAAACGGGGGGGACGAGAGGAAGGGACAAATTTATATGTGACGAATTTTCCCTGCACACCATTTTCCTACTCAGACATGTACGCCACACACCAGTTTTAAAAAAAAAAAAAAAAAAAAAAAAATATATGACTTGTCCAGGTGGGGAGAAAAACAAATGCACCGATAGATTGGACGGTCTTAGTCGTGAAACTGGTCGAGCACTAACCCTGAACGCTAACCACACGTATCCGTAAGGGAGTAAAAAAAAAAAAGCCTCATAAATGTAATTGCCATTGTTAGACTTCTCCTTTTACGCGCGTGCACGATGCGGTTGAAAGAGAGAACGGTTTGGGGGGTCCCCTAAAAAAAGGAAGCGCACATCATGTTCAGCCACCTGTGGGGGGAGGGCAGGCATATATTCGTATGCGACTCAAAGGGATGGTGTAACCAGACGACCTCCGCGCCGGCGTTGTGAACTGCTCAGACGTTTCACCGTCCCTCTTCTCACGTCTGCAAAACGGGTCACGGCTGGTTTGCTCAAAATATCCCTCACGTGGAGGTAAAATATTTACAAAAGTGGTGCGCAAGGATGTGTCAGGCAGTATTGGGTAGGGTCACAAGGGGAGCCCACTTTAAAGGATAGACAAAGTTTGCAAGTGAGGAGAATATTATTTTTTTTTTTTTTTTTGGGCGAGGGTAAAAAGTAGACAATGGCTGCACGCGCACAGGGAAAATGTGATGCAAATTCGTTGGGGAATGCCTTACCCCCGATTAGACACTATCTTAACATGTACTTTTCACTCCTCTATTTTATTTATTTTTTTGGTGCGCACGGTTGACGCGGCTGTGAAGTTTATAGGCGTCCTAATGAGAAGACACCTTCCTCCATTATCGCCAAGGCAAAAAGGAGAAGCAGCTATACGTATTGTTCCTTCCAAGTCTTATAGTTTCCCCCCCCCCCTGGCGCTTCCGTCCTTTGTGTGCATTGCGTATTGCGCGAATTGCCCGTTTGGCCACAGCTGGGGGGGGAAAGACTCGAGGGCCCCACCCCCCTCTTCGCCAAAGAATGTGCGTGGGTAGGATGCGAAGGAAAAAAAAAAAAAAAAAAAAAAAAAAAAGGCACACGCGCGGAGATTATATTTTCCTCCCCTTTTTGGGTATACATCGATTTAACATCCGTTTAGGAATCCCGCTTGGGAAGCATCCTGTTTTGTCATTGAGGCAGCGCGGTGGAACAGGTGTACCGACATCCCCACCGCACTCTACCCCCCGCCCCCGTCTTTGCGTACGGTCTTAACGAACACTTCCGTAGCGTGAAACTAACGCTTCCCCCACGTGTAACTGGTTCACCCGCCTTCCGTTTACACAAACCACTACCCAACGATGAGCAAAGTAATTCAGCAGATATTTGAGGACTACAACAAGTCCAGGACGCAATTCACGCAAAGCATATATGACATGTGTTTGAAGGCACACAACATGGAACTAATAATTAGCACGGACATTATAATTATGATTCGTCCCCTGATCCTCGATAAGGTCCCGATAGTGCAGCAAAATGCAACTCAGATATTAGGGAAAATGGCTAGCCATTCTGAGGAAGTAGCATTGACCATTTTACAAAATGATATTTTACCACATCTAGTATACTGTTTAAAACATGAAAATAAAAATTACAGAAAAAATTCTGCTAACACATTAAAATGTCTGGCTAGCCATAATGCCAAGCTAGCTAATTTGGTAGCAGAAGAAGAAAATTGTATAGATAATCTGTTAGACTCATTAGACGAATATGACATCAGATTAAAGGACGCATGTATAAATGCCCTGTGCGCAATTGTGAAAAACGACATCGATTTGGCTAATATACTTGTGGGAAAAGGAATAATCCCGTTGGTGATTTTGTCCTTACAAGAGAAGGATACATATTTGGTGAGGAGTTCATTAAATATATTAACGGAGCTTTGTAAACACACAAATGAAATTGCAAAAGAGGTGGTCGATAATAATGCTCTACCACATCTTATAAAATTCTTAGACAACACAGATGTACAAATAAAACGTTATGCATGTAACTGCTTAGCTCAAATAGCAAAACATAAAGAAGAATTAACAGAACTGATAATTGAAAATGACATGTTCCCTAAAATCATTTACTTACTAAATGATCCCGATGATGTGGTAAAAAAAAACTGCGCCAATTGTTTAAAAGAAATGAGCAAACATAATGAAGACATATGCAAAATCATTGTTCGTGCAGGTACTCTTCCTTTTATATGTGAATGTATTGAACAATCATCGCGCGGCACTGTTCAACTCCCCGCTGTCTTATGTATTGGTTTTATTGCCTCCTTTTCTGAATCCCTAAGTTTAAATATTATTTTAGCAAATGCTATCCCTATTTTAAAAAAGTATTTAATTGAAGAAACGGAAGACTACATCAAATCTGCATGCGTCTGGACCCTAGGGAATATTGGCAAGCATTCTTCCTCTCACGCTAAGAAGTTATGTGATGAAAATCTTTTAATAATTTTTACCAATTTGTACAATGCAAATGACTCCTCTGATGAATTGAAGAAGAGAGTCAAACTCGCTTTCAAAAGCGTCATTCAGAAAGTCATCGATTTAGAGGCTTTAGAACCCGTTTTCCTAAAAGCCACGGCTAAGCTAGCCAAATATTGCATCTGCCAATTTGCAAAAATTATCCCAAAAAATCCCACCTATAAAAAGTCCTTCATCAAATCCGGATGCCTCAAGTATCTGCAGGTATAAAGCAGCGCCTACACTTTTTTTTTTTTTTTTTTTTTTTTTTTACACCCCGTTGCGTGTGTTGCATTATTATCCTTTTAAACGCTATCACTTCCGCCACAACCCTTTGCACGTTTTTTTTTTTTTTGTGTCCTTGTTAGGAAATGAAAAATTCCGAGGAGGTAAAGAAAATCGAAATGGAAATAAACACCATCAACAATTCCTTCCCGGAAGATATTATTAATTATTATACCCCTGGTTACTCAGAGACGTTAATAAAAAGGATTGACCAAGCGGGTAAAATGTGAGGGATTGGGGGGCGGGTAGATGGGCAACCTTTTTTTTTTTTTTTTTTTTTTTTTTTT